AAAAAAAAAAAAAGATTAGTGGTTGCTAGGAGTTGAGGATGGGGAGGGGAGGAATGACTAGGTGGAGCACAGAGGATTTTTAGGCAGTGAAAATACTCTGTATGGTATTATGATAATGGATATTATATATCATTATACTTGTGTCCAAGCCCATAGAACGTACACCAAGAGTGAACCATAATGTAAACTATAGACTTTGGGTGGTTATGTGTCGATGCAGGGTCATTCTTGGAAACAAGCATACCATTCTGGTGAGTGATGTGGATAATAAGTGAGTGATGGGGGAGCAATTGAATGTGAGGGGGCAAGAGGTATATGGAAAATCTCTACGTCCCTCTCAATTTTGTTGTAAACCAAAAACTGCTGTAAAAAAATAATAAGTCTAAAAAAGAAAAAAAGGACTAGAGGAAAAAAGCCTTGGTACCCTCAGGAGTGCTGCTGAAATGGGAGGGATTGGCTAACCACATAGAAACTAAAGCAACTACCACGGACTGGACTTTAAATTTTCCCTGGGTGGCAAGCCCTTCTGCTAATTGAATATTTTCTCTGGGTTAACACTGGAGGATTTAATTGGCCCTGTAATTCTGGTGCTATTCTGATCCCAGTCTTCAAGTCCTCCATACTGCCATTCATTCATTTGACACACATTATAGATTGAGCACCAGCCAGTGATAGGGGCAAAAGTAGGCAAGAATCACAAGGATTAGGAATGCATGTGTGTAGGGGTGTGGGCTGCAATTTTTAATGGGGTAATCAAGGTAGGTGTCACTGAGAAAGTGACATTTGAGCAAAGTCCTAAAGGAGGTGACGCAGTTAATTAAGGGGTACCTATGGGTAGAGTGTCCTGGAAATAGGTAATACAAAACTCCTGAGGGAAAGTATCTGGCATGTTAGAAACAGACTAGTGGGTCTGGTGTGGTGAGTGGAAGGTAAGGTGCTAGGAGATGAGACGGTAAGAGAGAGGGGGTCAGAGCATGTAGGACCTTGTAGGCCTTGGTGAAAACTTTGGCTTTTACTTGGAGTGAGACAGAGGGTGTCCAAGGCCACTCTTGCTCTATTGAGAATAAATAGAGCAAGACTCTACTGAAGAGCAAGATACCCTTCGTTGAGTAAGTAAATATAATGTCATACGTGTATAGTATGTCAGGTATTAAAATAATAATAGAACAAGTACACAGTTAAATGAGTATTTCATTATAATTTTACTGCCTATGTTAATACCCAGGAATTAGTATATAGTTAGTTTTGCCAGTTTTTGAACTGGACTTAAATTGAATCACACTGTGGTTTTCTCCTGCAGCTCAGATTTCCCTCTCAAACTGTATATTTCTGGGATTCATCATGTTGTTGCTTGCAGCTTTAGGCCATTTATTTCCATACTGAATAGTATTTTATTGGGAATTATACCACACTTTTATTTTTCCATTCTTTTCTTGATGGACACTCAGTTTGTTTTCAGTTCCTTGCTGTTACAATGCTACTAGGAACAATCTTGTATGTATCTCCTGGTACAAATACTATAGGATATTCACCTGGGAGTGAAATTCCATGAGCATCTTCATGGTTAAATCCACCATTTCTTGTGTTTCGCACCTTTCTCTTTCTTGGTTATCACTCTTTAATTTCACTGGATTTCATGCTCAGCATCCTTAGAAAGTGCACATGAAACATACGTTTTCTGAGTCTCAAAGTCTTTTTTTAAATCTCTCAACTCGCAGTTTGACTGGGATAGAATTCTAAATTCAAAATGTTTCCTAATGTGATACACGATTGACTCTTATATAATCTTAAAATAATTGGTTTCTTCCGTTTCTTATGCACTCAGCTAATCTGGGAAATGTACCAAAAGACAGCGTTGTTAAATATTTCATGACATTTTTTTTATGCTTACTATTTTTGTTTTAGAAAAGTTTCTTGGTTGGTGCACAAATCCCAGTTGTAATGTTAGGGAAATGGCATTAAAAACCTTCCAAAACAAAGGTTTTCAAGAGGGAACTCAAACAATCTTGCTAAGGTTCTTGAATTAAAAGGAAAATATTATGTATTTTCTACACAATGCTTTCAAAGTAATTAAGCTTTCAAAGAAATGATTTTCCCTCCAAATATTAAAGTTAATTGCTGCACTGTCTACCAGCCTCCTCCACTTTGCTGCTGAACCATCTTACTCTCATTGCTTAGATACGTCTTAAATCTACATCTTGGTCTAGTGGGGCGTATGCAATTCCCCTACTTTCTTATAGGTGGCGCTGCAGAGACGCGCGCTCTATTGGAGCAGGACAGACTCCCCAGTAGGGGGCGCAACCTGTGGGTGTTGCGTCTGGGGGAGCCGTACGCAACGTGAGGGGCGGAAACAACTTTCGCCCCGCCTCTGCCATCTGCGGCGCGCTCTGATTGGAGAGCAGAACCATCACTTGATAGGGCCGTTGGGCTGGGAGGAAGAGGGCCCAGGCCGAAGGTGACGCTGAGGCGGCGGGGGTGCTGAGAGGTGAGCGGGCCGTGAATGAGAGTGAGCCACAGCAACACATCGGGCACTCTTCCCCATCTCTCTGCGGTGAATGGCGACGGGATGGAGTACGAGGGGAGCGGCGGCAGCGGGGCGTCTGCTGGGCTCCTGCAGCAGATCCTCAGCCTGAAGCTCGTGCCGCGGGTGGGCAACGGGACCCTGTGCCCCAACTCCACTTCTCTCTGCTCCTTCCCAGGTACCGGCCCCGCCCCGCGCCTGCGCTCTACGCGCCCTGCTCTCGGTGATGTGCCCCTTCCCCAGCGTCCCGGCTGGGTCCCGCCTCCCAGCCGAAAGGGGGCTCTTTTCCTCCAGGAAGGAGGGTGGGTCCCGCTCCCTTGGCGGAGAGCTGGGGGTTCAAGCCCCTTCCACCCTCGCTGCCTCGCTGGCCTCTTGGACTGGGTGCTGGGGGAGAGGTCGGAGGGAGCGGCCACGGGTGTACCGGTCAATGAAGGAAGCTCTGCTACCGCCGGAACTGGTCTTGCGCTTTTGAGTTTCCAAACGCCCTAAGTTCAGACTTGGAACTCCGCAGAGCCCTGGAGGCGGTCATCCCCGCCTTGTTTGGGGCGCAGGATGCGCCTGACCCCTTTCGTCCGCGCTGGTTTCGACTTTCGCAGCTCCGACGCCGAATTGTCCCGGCCAGGCTGAGGGGCTGTCAGAAGTGACACTCCCTTTGTTTCTAGTCTAGCCGAATCCCTCTGCGCCAGGACGTTGTCAGCTGATCGCTCGCACCTCGGTCCAAATCCACCCACTCCACCAGCTTCTCTTTCTAGGAATCACTTTCTGAGACCTGTTGCCGAGTCTCCCACTCACGCGCTCCACATCTTTGGCACAGCTTCTTTTTAACTCTTCTTACCCCCGCTGGAGCGTCTCCTGGGCCTGATACAAGGGTTTTTCAAATTTAATATAAGATAGAAAGCTATCCGTGCTCCGAAAGTCGAGAGGAGGAGAAATTTCTTGGGAAGGCTAATACAGCCCAGATGAGGGGAGGGTACAGTTAATGTGTGTCGGACATTTAAAGGCAAGAAGGCTGAGAACGGTAGCGATTGAAGGGTGAGGTTGGGCTCTCCAGCAAAGCTGACTGATACCTTCACTTAGTAAACAATGCGAGAACGGAGCCTGTGACCTACAATGGAAGGAGGGTTGGATTACTGACTGCAGCCATAAACAAGGCACCTGTGATTTTTTTCATCCATTGGGCAGCGACTGCCAGGCGCCATTCAGTGGTCACCCGGGACTTGCTGTGTATTACCTGACTAGTATTTTCCCGGACAGGTTTTATGAAGTAGCTGATAATGCAGATGTTAGCTTGAAATCGTGCCCAAAATGACAATCTGGCAGTTTGCCTTGTCCCAAAAGGTCCTAAGTTCACATTTGACAATGATAGTAGAAATATATGGCATTCTGGAGACACTTTCCAAAAAATGAAATGTCCACACAGTTTGGAGACATGACTGGACCAGATTAGTCAGTTTTTGTTTGTTTCCTTTTTCCCCCCAACTATTTTGAAAATGTTCAAACCTACTGAAAAATTAAAATGATAGTGTAACAAATACCCATGTACCCTTTACTTAAGGTTCATTATTCACATTTTGACTCTCTTGGCTTCTCTAAGTATATGCCGGGGTTGCCCAAAAAAATGTGTTCAAGTGGACATTTTGGTCAGCATTGCTCAAGCAGTAGTTTGCCGTAATCAGTAGTGTCTGGACGCTGATGGTAACCTCTGAGCACCTCTTGTAATTGCAGAAGTCAAACATGACTTGTATTCATCTTTTGTTATTGGTATATATTGAGTATTGCAATTTTAATAGTTTTTTCCTTAAAATGTGTACACATTTTTTTTGGCACCCTCTGTATAGGCATACACTTAACATTTTAACTTTCTACAGAGCCATTTTAAAAGGAAGTTACAGAAGTCATGGAACTTGATGTCTAATATTTCAACATGGATCTTTTAAAACAAGGACATTTTCTGTCATAGCCAAAAAAACCTATATCACATCCAAGAAATTTAACATTGCTAGAACATTATATCTAATGGATGGGCCTTATTTAAATTACCCCAATTACCCAAATAATGTCATTTGTAGTTTTTTCCTTTTTTAAAAAAATGGTTGGGATTTAATCAAGGATCACACATTGCATTTAGTTATCTTGTATGTCTCTTTAGTCTGGTTCAATCTAGAAGAGTTCTTGATTTTTTTTTCGATTTTTTGAGATTGACATTTTTGAAGAGTCGAGACTAATTGTTTCTTAGTACGCTCCACAATCTAAATTTATCTAATTGTTTCTTCACGATTACATTCAGATTAAACATTTTTGATCGAAATACTACTACCTACATAGGTGATGTTATCCACTTTCCAGGGCATTCTATCAGGAGACATTTACCCATCAGTTTGTAAGTTTAATCATTTGGTGAAGATGGTGTTTATCAGATCTCTCCACTGTAAGGGTATTTTAATCTTTTGTAATTAATAAGGCATGTGAGGTGATACTTTGAAACTGTGAATATTCTGTTTAGTCTGTCTGGCATTTAGTGTCTTTTCTTTCTTTAAGGAAAGATCAAGATAAGTGGATTTAGGGCAATAGTTTTAGCACCTCATAGTAGAGAATCTGTAGCTATGGGGATTGTTTTGCTTTCAGAAATTGTTCTGAAAATATTAAACTGTGATATGTACTTGAGTTTATGGGAATTTCTATGGATATATAACTTAGAGGTGTTGATGACCAGGGATCATTCATTCATCAAGTACAGGTTCCCCCCACTATCTGAAACTAGAGCGTTCCTGTGAAACCTTTTGCGAACTGAAATGGCATAAAGAGAATGACCTCAGGACACATCTTGCTAACTGATGCACAAAATAAATTGAGATAAAGCACAGTTGCTCACAGACACAGTTCAAAGTGTGTCTTAATGCTGAGTACAGTTCCCAGGGAAGGAGCTTGTGGGGGCCACTCTTGCTGTGCTGCTTGGAGTGTGTGCTGCCTGTATTAATGTCCCACTGCCAAACAAATACTGAATGCTGTTTTTGCTTTTCACCTTTTTTTGTAAAAGCAAAAATCCTCTTTGGATTTCTTTTGGCTAGTGAAAACAGGTGCTAATGTAGGTCTTTTATAAAAGCAAAGTGGTGGAAAGTGAACTTTTGAAAAGCAGGAGATACCTGAGCACATTTGGCTAAGTGCAGGCTCTGGGCTGGGGTGTAAACATGCATGAGATATATAGCTCTTGACCTTAAGTTGATCAGAATGTGATGGGCAAACACTTGACCTCCCTGCTATGTCTCATCTTTTGCTGGAATGATGGATAAAATAGGTACAGGAAGTTTGATCCTTTTTGAGGCACCAAAACCTGCTGACAGTGAATTTCCTTACCTGAATCTGGAAACTTCTATTTTGGCCCCACAGAAAAGGTTACTTGTACTTTATGCCAACTCACTATGGCAAAATCATTGCTCTGAAATATTCTGTGGTTTATCACTATCAGGAAGCTTTGAATTGATTTTTTTAACCCACGTATGCAATTTAGCTATTTAGATTTCTGCCTATCCCTCCTTCTTCCAAGGTGTTCAAATTTCTTTTGTCGTTGTCAATTTTAACAAATCTGAATGCCAAGAAAGGCAGATCTTGTCTTTGTATCAGGAATGACATTAATTTTCCGAAGGTATGAATGTCATTAAAATCATTGTCAAAGTGTACCTTGTGATAGTGAAACTAAAACCAATTAACGTTTGGTGGTGCGGCTGCTGGAATCAAGAATGGGTCATACTTGGACCAGTTATTCACTCACCAAATATTTGCTCAGTGTCTGTTGTTTTCTAGGCACCAAGTAAAGATGTGATAGGGAAAAAACCAAGGAGCTTTCATTCTAGTGGGGAGAGAGAAAATACACAAACAACACTTAGAAGTGTGCAAAGGAACAGTTGGTGGTGAGTGTGAGACAGAGTCGGGGGATGGTAAGAGGTGGGTCTTGTGTGTCTGGGGAGGCATGTTATTTTACCTAAGGTAGGAAGCCCTTTCTGAAGATGCCATTGCAGCTGAAATCGGAAGGAAGGAGCGAGCCTCACAGCTGTTGGGAGATGAGCAACCTGGGCGAGGAGGCAGCAGGTTCAGAGGCCCTGGAGCAGGAGCTTGCTTTAAGGGACATAAGAGAAGCCAGCATGCTGGATGGAACAGTGTGTGCACGGTGGGAGGGGGAGGTGAGGTCAGGCCACGGAGGGCCGTAGGGTTTTCAGCAGGGAGGGATGATCTGACTGAGTTTTTCTTTTTTTTAATATACAATTCAGTGGGTTTTAATATATTTGGCAGAGTTTGCAACCAGCGCCACAAGCAACTTTAGAATATTTTCATCACCCCAGCAAGAAACCATGTACCCATTAGCACTGACCTCCAGCCTCTGTGTGGAGAATAGGTGGAAGGGCAGACAAGAACTAGCCAGGCTAGGACCAAGAGACCACTGGGGTGAGGCAGGCTGGGTGGGGGAGGGGAGCCGCACACTCAGAAACCAGGGATGGGAGGGCAGTCCAGCAGTAGTGCAAGGAGAGAGGTGGCAGCCCACAGCTGCTGGTAGTCCGGTGGGTAAGTCATTGTTAGGAAGGTATGGAGGGGTGTCTAGGAAAAACTCACTGTTTTCTTTTACTCTTCTACTATTGCTACACTCACAACACTTCTGACACCAGATGTGTGGGTTTTCCATGCACCAAGCAATTCTGTGACACCAGTCAGGTGTCCTGCAATTCAATTTAGTTCTGACGCTATCTACCTGGAGTTAGCATCAAATCCCACAGGTAAAGGGCACAAAACTGTCCTCACCCCCCACTTCAGATGCCAAACAAAAGTCCAGGTTGTTACATATGCTTCTGACTGACTGGCTATAAATTGGAGGTTCCCATGACCCCCACCCCAGTTTAATGAATTCGCTACAGTAGCTCACAGAACTCAGGAAAACAGTTTACTACAAGAACATCAGTTTATCACAAAGACTATTACAGGTACAAATGAAGAGATACATAGAGTGAGGTCCCAAAAGGTCCCAGCATGTAGATGTGTCATCAACCCAGAAGTTTTCTGAACCCTGTACTTTTGGGATTTTTATGGAGACTTCATCCTGTAGACATGATTGATGATCAACTCCACTTCCAGTCCCTCTCCCCTCCCTGGAGAATGGAGAGTGGAGCTGAAAGTTCCAAGGTGATAGTCATGGCTTCTGGTGACCAGCCCTCATCCAGGAACCCACCAAGAGTCACCTCATGGGAACAAAAGATGCTCCTGGAAGTTCTAAGGGATTTAGGAGCTCTGCATCCGCAACCCGGGGGCAGAGACCAGTATACAGTTGACCCTTGAACAGCAAGGGTCTGAACTGCATGGGTCCACTGATAGACATGGATTTTTTCAGTTGATCCATGCAATTCGAACTCGAGTTCACGGCTCAAACTGGCGGTTGGGAATCCGCGTATGTGGAGGGCTGACTTAAGTTGTACTCAGACTTTCGCCCCTAACCCCTGTGTTGTCCAGAAAGGGTCAACTGTATTTGCATTTCTTATTTTTTCCCAAGGGAACAGATGGATCCCTGGCAGGTAGGAGGGGTGGGGGTGGGGGTGTCTCACAGTGGGCATTGTGGAGAGATGCAGGCTAATGAGCGATTAGCATCAAGGCATTCAAGCACTGAGTTGCAGGACAGGGTAGGACTGCAGTTCCCAGGAGGACTGATATGTCTCCTGAGAACCCCTGCTTCCAAGGAACTGGTTGTGTTCATGCAGTTGTTTGATCTGGAATATAAGGTAGACTGGGGTCAGCTGAAAGGATGGCTGTGCTGAGCCTCACGCAGCCTCCTTGGCTTAGGCTTCTCCCATTCTTGCTGAATGGGGCCAGGTTGGCCTTGAGGTCTCGCTGGGAATTTAGGTGACTCAGCTGTAGAGGTTAGAGGGCCAGGGAACCAACCATTACAAACCCTTTTTGTCAGACAGTTCTGGAAGTCAGAAGTCCAAAACGGGTCAGTACTGTGTTCCTTCTGAAGGCTCTAGAAAGAATTGGTTTTCTTGCCTTTTCCAGCTTCTAGAGGTCACCTGTATGCCTTGGCCTGGGGCGTCTTCCTCCATCCTTAAAGCCAGCAGCATAGCATCTTCACATCTCCCAGACTCTAACCCTCCTGCTTCCATTTGAAAAGGACCCTCGTGATTTCATAAGGCCCACCTCAGTAACTCGGAGTACTTCCCCATCTCAAGATCCTTAATCTAATCTCACATGCAGACTTCCTTTTGCCACACATTCACAGGTTTTGGGGATGAGTACAGAGTACATATCTGGACATCTTTGGAGCCCATCCCATCACCAGTGCTTAATCTGATTTCCCCTTATAATCTTTTATTAAGATTACCTGATTTATATACTTCAGCATCAGGAAGTAATGTGACTTTTAGCTACCAAAATAAACAAAGCTGAAGATAACACACTTGATTTGAAACAGTGAACTAGGAAATACTGTAAGATATGTAGACAAAGGTTTTTGACAGTGTTTTGAGCCAGGGAAATAAAAAGCCCTATATGATGATCAATAAAGAGCTATTAAATAGATAGCAAATTAAGGTGCAGTGGATTAAAGGGGAAATTACTTAGGTTTTTTTTTTTTAAGTGTCCTATTGATCGGGGTTTGCCTTTGCTATTAGAGTCCTGTAATAATCCCATCCATCTGAAAAAGTGTTTTTTAAACTGTTCTATTCGTTTAATATAATCAAGCCTTTCCCCACTGCATACAGTGACTTAAGTGATGCTATATAAAATATGTAGCACTGAGCTGGCTAATGGATGTAGCTCAGGGTTGTGCCATGTGCTGCCCTTCCTCAGAAACTCCCAGAGATGCTGACCTGCTATGCCAGACCTTGTTTGCAAATAGGCTTGTCAGCGTTTAGGAAAATTGAGGTGTGGGTTGGTAGCCCAGCAGGTCGGTCCCCTTGGGCAGGTGCTGTGCTCCAGGGCAAGTGGGAACAGGTGAGTGATTATGTCTTAGTCTGCCGGGGCTGCTGTTAAAAAAATACCGTAGACCGAATGGCTTAAATAACAGATATTTATTTCCTCACAGCTCTAGAGGCTGGAAGTCTCAGATCAGGGTGCCAGCATGGTCGTGTTGTGGTAAGGGCCCTCCTGGGTCGCCTTCTCGCTATGTCCTCACATGGCGGGGAGAGAAAGAGAAAATGAGAGACAGAGAGACATCTCCCATCCTCTTCTTATAAGGCCATAGCCCTATTGGATTAGAGCTTCAACATACGAACTTTGGTGGAACACAATTCAGTCCATAGCAGTTGGGTAGCACACCTGTGTGTCCAGACCCACTTTTATGGAAGTTATCAACTTGGTGTGTCTCTGGCAGATCCAGGCCTCGTCTCCCAGTTTACTGCCCTGAGGTTTTGTGACAGCCAGTTAGAAGGCAGGCGCCAGTAGCGCTTGGAGTAGCTGCACAAAGCAGTGCTTATCTCTCTAACTTGGGGAGCTCCAGCAGGGCCCAAGAGCAGTGTCAGGTCAGTGGTGGAGTTTCAAGTCAATGGTGACAGCCAGCAGCCAGCGTGGCGACCGCTCTGAGTCTCAGAGGCAGATTTGCAATCCCATTTGTCCACGCCAGAGCAGTGGCATTCCTGGAATGCCATCATAGAGCTTTATCTGCACCCTGGGTGGTGTTATGGAGGTCAGTGTCTGGGTGAGTTGGGGAGTAGCCGGTAAGGATTGTGGGATTGAAGGTGGGGTTACTGCTTTGGAAGGGAACTGCATGCCGTTGTGCTGCGGCTTGGGGATGAACAGGCAGTGGGCAGTGCACAAGGGGGCTTAGCCTTCGAAGGCTGGGCTGCTCTCACTGAGCCAGGGGGCAACAACAGCAGCCGCCTAAGCCGGAGAGAGCTGGTGGGTGCACTTTCACTGGGCAGGAGCAGGATCTGGACACCGGACACTGCAGCCTCTGGAGCTGCTGCCTAGAAGAAAGGGCAGGTCTCCTGGCAGTGGAGGCAAGAATACCTCCCGGCCCAAGGCTGGAAAGAAGGCTGCAGTCATGTAGGCTTGTTTCTGAAGAGGATGGGGACTTGAACCCTGAGGATTCAGATTCCCGCCCCCAATTTCTGATATACACAGTATTGACTGGAGAGGTGGTTTTTTTCTTTTGGTGGAGGA